TTCTACTTTTTTACAGATCTTTTACTTGATCTAGTCGCAATTATTTGGTGCTATTCTGAACTTAGTTTTCCATGGAATGATGAGCTGCAGCTCATCACAACTATATCCTGACAGTTTTAACGTATTGCTACTAGTGTCCTGCCAGTTACAACTCATGTCCTGCAACTCCTAGCTAATCCCTTATATCTTAGTTCTACTTTCCAGCTGTTTCCAATATATTTCTATTATTCCTCGGCTTAGTCTATAGTACCCACAACTCATTCCAGACTTCTACTATTCACCAACTCATTTCTACTATTATAGTTTGATAAATTGCGAGGCTATTAGGCTATCGATTTAAACTCACCATTGTCGTATTTAATAGTCCACCGGAGGGGCCGGGCTTTTTCGCCGTTCGAATTATGGAGTCGTCGAAAGCTCCCGGAACTCTTAACTCATCCGATGCCGGACCTCTGTCGTTCGGAATGATTTTCGGACAGTCGAGAGCAAAAAGTTTGAATTTATCGTTCGGGCATTATCCTCGCAATTACCGGGTTAAACTGATAGATTGGGGTTAATCGGCTCTCGCCCTTCGTCGGGACGCGTCCGTTTTAAAACGTCGACGGACGGGAAGGCTGCAGCTATTAGCGCAGGGACGGACCGAGGGGTCGATCTTAGACTATCTTCTATAGATAAACAGATTCTATTAGGTACATAAATTTCGTTCATGGGTAGATAAAGGACTTTCTTGGGTAGATAAGTGACTCTCTTGAATAGACCAGTGACTCTATAGTGTAGAAAATTGACTCTATATTGAGTAGACAAATGACTCTTAAATAAATAAGTGTTTCTATTGATTAAATAAGTGACTCTGTTCAGCCACTAAATGACTTTTCTCGTTTACAAATTATTGTTCCGTTTAATAAAAAAATAAAACTTTTCCAACCGGTTTTTTCTACTCCCTTATCACGCTCAACTTAATTGTTTTATCGATATATAATAATAGTTGGTAGAATTTCCCGTTCGTTTTCATTTTATCCGTTTAAATAAAGCCATTCTAGAAACCGGCCTTAAATATGTAGATTATTAGATCCAATCGCGGTAATTATTAAATTAATGGGGGTGGATTTTAATAATTTACGTGTTAAATTTTCATTCTTATCCGAATTCTCCTCTACACACGTAGCTTAAGGTGAATTTTATGCGATAATTATGTAGAAAACCGGAAGGGTGCCCGACTGACTGATGACTGATAGCCAAAAAAAAATTGTTGACGAGATATTCCGCCCATTTTTATAATGTTTAGCCTTTTATTACGAAAAGTGCGCTCGTTTAAAATCCTTCCTCCCATTTTACGACCTATTAAACGGAAAAACTTTATTAGAAAAGTCTCGTCCAATTTATGGGACATTAAAATTTTACGGCGAAATTATATTATGTGCATAAAGCCCATCGTTGTGCGCATAGGAAAAAGATACGGGGCAAAACGCCAACTTGAAATTTTCACACCGTATATTCGCCCGTATATTTGCTTCAAATCCTGCACAATAACTAGCTTAGATTTTTATTAGAGTAGATTAAATTTAGATGTACTGCACATACTACATTATTTATATTAGATCTATTTTTATAGGTGTATAATAATAAATAGTTTTATTTAAAGAGCTTATAAAACGAGAACCATCAATGTAATTAATATTATGATTACCAGGTAATTGTTTAATTGGCCTAATAAATAGTAGTTGGTTCCATAATTCACGCAATACAAACAATTTGTTTGGGCACTCGTGCAACTTCCACCTCCGGCGGGAAAGTTTCGGTTTAATTTTCAAAAAGCGATAAATTTTATTTATAAAGCTCTGTTCAAAACTTTCTAACGGCTCAATTAGCATTAACGCCACTTGAGCATACATCAAACTTGCACTATACACGGGGAATTTTCGGGCGGGTCTACAATTGGTCCGGAAAAGCCGCGATTCAAAAAGCCGAAACGCGCGGTGGCGCAAAAAAGATTAAAAAAATCCTTTCTGAAATACGCCGGGAATGCCTGTCTGATTGATTTACTCTCCGCAACTCCCGAACAACACATCCCTAATTGGCCTAATCTTGTTCGGTTCGTCAGTAAGCCGGTAACAAAGTGATGAAAATTCGGTTTTCGCTCGAATACTTCAAAAGAAAAAACTCCGTACAAAAAAACTTGTTAAGTAATCTCTGATTCAATTAAATTAATTAAGAAAATACATTACATTACATACATACATACATACATACAGAAAATTTTGCTTTCGTATATTGCATTGTTTGGAGGAATTTAAATATTACTAGGTACAGCATTTATTTTTTATGCAATAAAATTCAAAGGGAAATATTATGGATGAAAACATAGCAATTATTTCGAGTGTCCGAAATAGCGTGCATTCTTTTTACCGTACAGGTTCCTGTATATTTGTTTTTGTTGTTTCATTCGTAATAAATAAGTTCGTTAACTTTTTGTTTTCCGATTTATACAACCCCGTTATTCGTTGTGGCAGGAATTTTCTGAAAGGATAAACGCATGTTAATTATTTGTTGGGAATTTTTATTCATGTTATTTAAATAAAATTTTTAACTTTTTTGTTAAAAGTTTGCAGCGTTTTTTGATTTATTGGAAAAGCTGGAAAATCGAAGATCAAAAATATATCAAACATATTCCATAGAAATATTCTGCAATACGACATGTCAAACTCGTTTTTTTTACGAAAAGCATCCCTGGAAAAGTCGAAAATCGAAAGAGTAATATTTTCAACTACATGTAGGCATATTCCTTTGTAATGTTATTATTTAACATCATCAGAAATAATTCAAAAGTTGCTAAAATCGTATTTTTCATCCAGAAAATCAACAATTCGCCTGAATAAAATCAACGAATGGCCAAAACATTTTGCAGCTTAATCGCCATCAAATTAATGCAACAATTGCATAACTGTAACGGTTCCGGTCAGTTATCTCGAAGCGAAATAGCATGGACATAAAAATACACCGGGATTTCGGTTAATTCATATGTCATACAATTTACTGCCGTGTTAACGAACGCGCTTATTAAAAAAACTAGATACCGTTTACGGGTTGCTAAATGGTTATAATCGAAACCATTATGGAGATAACTTAAATTTATATTTGACGGTGTTTGTTTAATAGCAAAGCGCTGCATCGCGTGGTATTGCAAACCAGCACTTTATAAAGCTTCTGAATGAAAGAGCTCCTTTAATAAAAAACTGACCTAATGATATCGCTATAAATTAGAAAATTATTTTAATACATAATCCTACTCCTGCGAGCATCGATAAAAAACTAATAACAACAACAATAATAGCGCTATAAAATAAATCACGGCGTCGTAGGAAGAGAGAAACCCGTTAATGGGATACTCGAGGCCGCAACCGAAAACGGACAAAAAATCCGGGATCCATCCCGGCCCGACAAAGCATTACTTTTAATCATAGCGGCATCAAACTATTCACACGAAATCCGGGGTCCGGCAACAAAAGGAACCAATTTACACGTGCGATAACGCAAAATAAATTTAAAAAGGAAGCAAACGTATAAGGCGAAAATGTAAATGCTGCTATAGCGGGATGGAGAAGATTCGCAAAAAGAGGCGTCCAAAAATTTACATGGTATTGATACAGAAGGAAGAGCAAACGAAAAAGCTGTGTCATTTTTTATCTTTGTGATATTTCGATTACTGATGAATAATGTAGCATTCTAATTACTAACTTGTTATTAGATTACTAATAATAAATAAGGTACATGGAAATTAGGTGGTGTGTATCACATGGTTAAATATTGTTTATCGAATGCTCTAGCTGTTCTCTATCTGTGTATCGTTTGGAATAATAAAGTTATCGATCGATTCCGATCGTTTTCAAACACGTAATGCAATAGGACTGATAAATATATTCTCGGTTCAATGTATGGTATAATGGAAATACTAACCCACTGACATGTTATACGCATTAGATAACATTCATATTTAGTTGTCTTGTGATATCAGGTACAATTTATTGTACTCTAATATCATTATATTTTTTATTGAATTTTTAATATCCTTCATAATAGTTTGTTTGTCCTCATCTTCTTTACCATTTTCCTTTTGCAATTTTGAACCGTTTTTTATCTTTCTTGTATTCTTTATCTTCCTGGTAATCTTCATCATTGCTGGTAGTTACGAGTCATTGTCCATTTATTGTAAGAAATAAAATAAAAATATGGCACGTCCGAAGGATGAAAAGCGGCAGGACGTGCCCGGGCATGTATGTATTCACGATTTTTCCGTCGTGTTTACGATTCCGGGCCGAAACTGTATCAAGGGGCCCCGTTTTCCGATTTATTGCCGGCAAACTTTGGTTTCCAATAATCGTAAATTGCTCCGTAAAATCCACAATATGGACAGCGGATGGCGAAAAATTGTCCGAGTTTAATTCTCTTCGCTGGGAGCTCTCAAGTGAAGAGCAATTTTTGGTATTATTTGTAGCGCAATCACTAAATTTATCGACCAACAGTTGTGTTATTTTAAACTTTCTCTGGAAGAAAGTGAAAGATACTTTCTTGTGAAGACTAGTTTTTGGTATTATTAGTAGCAAAATCAGTAAATATTTCTATCAACAACAGTTACATGGGATTGGGTTTTTCTAAGCTATTTCTGCGAGAATGTAGAGGAACTTGCAAGTGCAGAAACTTCCGAAAGTATAAGAATCATAAAAAAGGAATTATTAGAGACAAACCGCAAATTATCGGCCATTTTGGTCGTTAATCCTTGGATTAAAAAGTCGAGCTCTCGCCTTCTTATCTCCTAAACGGTTTTCCTGATGTAGAGTTTACCTTGCGACGAGCGTTTTCCCAACATTGTATAAATCGATGCGATGCCGAAAAGGAGCATTTTCTGTTACATTTTTCATGGAAACGTTGTCGATCGGTAAATGATGGTATCGTAAAGAGGTGAATTTTTCGTTCGAAAATTACGACTTTGAAAAATAGACGGATAACGTAAATGTGTAAGTTTATTTTGCGGTTAGGTAATGTTGTTTACTTGCAAGATTGTATACATTTAAGGAAAATGTTGCAGGTTTTGAATTAACAGTTTGCTCTGTTATTGTAGTTGTTTCGAGTCGTCGAATAATTTTGAAAAAAATTGTGGAGTTGGTGTAATAGAAATAGTACGAATTTACAATAAATAAATCATTATATTGAAGCTTATTCAGTTAAAAATTTTGGTAAGTACACTAATTGGTTGTGGTGGTGATGAAGTGGTCGGATCATCCATTATTACATCGCTTTCTGGATAATATTTGACCAAAATATCGACGAACAAATATGTTCTTCTGACGTTAAATGTTAGGCAACCACTGGCTACGTTCCAGCCGCTGGGCTGGGGGTGTTTGTATTGGAAGAGGTCCGCGTAGGCTCCGTCTCTTTCGGTGCTATTGTTGGGATACAACTCCCAGGCTTCCTGCAAAGCTGTGAGCGCGTCCAGTTTAAAATTGACATTTGGAACGTTGGCGTCCTGAATGATGAACTGAAAAATTCGAATTCAATATTACTACCTATATGTTGCGCAGCTCACGTCTTCAGTTATTTCTGTCGCACTGTGAGTTGTTAGAATAAAAATATTAAGTTACCTCTGGTTGAGAGTTAGCAAGGGCGTAAGCTGCAAGTGTGAAAAACAATAAAAACGTTATGTAATACTTCATGTTTGACACTTTATGATTTCCCATCAATAGTGCAGCCGTATTTATATCTACGGTTTATCTATAGCTTGGAAATTTAATTAATTAAATTCCCAGAAATGCACCTCACGAATTGTTTACTATGATTTTTAGAGTATAAACTGTAAATCTTATCTAAACCTTATCTGTTTGGTTTTAAATTAAATAATTACTTAAAATTCGATTGAATTGTCTAGGAATGAAAGATACCCTGTATTATTTTGTGAAGTGAAACAAATTTAGGGCTTCATCACCTATCGCGTCCAAAATTATAAATTTACCTCATTATAATAATGAAAATATTAATAATGCAAACGATGAATTAATTCGCGTTTAATGGATTTGTTGGAACCTTTTGAAACGTCACCGTTATAGAAAATTATAATAATTTAATTCTCTTTTGCTATGTATGTTGACAAATATGCATTGACTACCAAAAACCCACCTATTCTAATTAAATCCAATTATTGATGTATCCGAAATGGAAGTTTGAAAATAAACGGCATTCAATTTTATCGATGAAGTGTTAAAAATCCAACAAAGACCGGTTGATTTCACTCGAATTTTAATATAACTCCCCCGTCCATTATTTTCCGCATTATACAATACAGAAGCGGTAAAATAATTTATTACCTTTTTCCTTCTATATCTTTTGAATTTTAATTGACTTCCCCTGATAAAAAGGAATAATGGAAGAATGAATTTTTATATCCTTCTGCTGCGGCTCGGGAAAAATGATTGTGTTCGATGAAAGGGCTTTGTCATGAAAAAGATACTAAATTACTTAATTTTATTAATTATCTTATTTTTTTACAAAGTCTTCAAGCAACCACAAACAGATGAGGTGTCATAGATTATTTAGAAAAAGATTTTTTATATGGATTATCAAGGAAGTGATTCCTGGAGAGATTAATTGGGTATAGGGGCGCAAATTCTACTAGTTTGTTTTTTTTCTGTAACACCCTGTATGTACAAACGGGTATAAGTACTTACCGCTAAATCTGGCATAAATTCCAGTCTCACCGGAGCGATTAATTTATAAATTACCAGATTTTCGGCGTGTACATACACATACATGGGAAAAGTGTCTTATATGTGTATGTGCTCGGGGATTAGTTGTTGAACAACTCGGGCGGCTTATCCCTTCAATAAACAAACCTTTAATAATGTTGTGGTCGTTGTCGGGTCGTTGATTAAGGACCACTTTGAATAATTCCTTCGTTTTCGTCTAACTGGGACCGACGATATTGCGATATTCGTCTGGAACTGGAACGCCGTAAAAGACAAAAGACCCCGTTTACGTTTCGGCTGGCTCATCCCGAGAGTTAAGTCGACGAATTTGAGGAGTATTCGTTTTTAGATTAATTGGGTTATATAACTCTGTCGGGTTTCGGATAAATTTTAATTTGTTTTGTCTTCTACGATATTGGATTGTTCGATACAAGGGTGGCTCGAGGATTATACCAAAGGTTAAGGCTGATGTTTGTGAAATTTCAGTTTAATTGTCTCTGTAGGTATAATTTAGGAAACTTTCTTATTTCGTTTAAAATATCCAATTTTGAATTGTTAGCCAATATTGATTTAAGATTTTAATGGAAAACTAATCTAGACAATGTTATCAAGTAAATTAAAAATACAATAGTATGAGTAGGTACTTTTAGAATTACTCACATTATAAGGATGTTGTTAACTACTTAAATAAGTAGTTAAAATGAAAAATGATTAAATATAAATATAATAAGTAGATAGATACATTTCCACTCAGAAGAAATAAAAAAATTGGCTAATGGAACTGGATCTTTTCGAAAAATTATCATAAATTTCTCACAACGAACGTTCCTAGAGCGGAAAAACCGGCATCTTAGTCGAACGGAATTAAAACTAATCAAGTTAAAAGGGCGATTGAAATATCTTGCGTTTCATTAAATTTTAAAATCTACTTCTTTCACATCCAAATTGCTTAATGAAACATCGGAAAATATTCAGATTAGTTTCATTTTTCCATTTCTAGTAGATCATACTAAATGCTCGAGACTCGAGGCAATTATTGACAATGTTCAGTATTTTCGGAATCAATTAAAACCTTCGATCAAACATTACTCAACGCGACGCCTGCAATCACTCCATAATATCTTCCAATTTATCCATTGTTGGCATGGAAAGGGTTTTATCGATAGGAGAGAACGAACTTCAATAGGAGTGAAACAAAACACGACACCTGGACTGGCTGGAGAACCGAAAAGGCGGTTTTTGGTTTATTTGCAGCGAACAGATTAGTACGTTTGTTCGAATTATCGCTAATGGATTAGGTACGAGATCGTTATCGATCATCGAACGTTATCGCCTCGTTGTCGGTCATGCAATTGGTTCTTTAATTGATTAACTTTGTTCGAACGAGTAATTTCCTTTTTTTATTGCACCTTTACGACACTACTTCGAAATTACATTAATAGCCGAGCTATTTTTCTTGGAAATACCTTACACGAATACTGTACTGGAAGTAAACTTGAGGAAATATTAAGAGGAATTTACCAAAACTAAATATGTAGAATTCGCGATGAATATCAACAGAAACTATAAGAATTCCTAGCAAGATTTATAATAACAATCAATATCGACTTCACCGGGAAGTGATCATTGAAACATTAGGTATAGATAAACTTTCGACTTGACGTATTCTGTTTGCGAATCCTGCTGATTGTGCGACCTGACCTGACCGAAACTCGATTAAACATTTCGATGTTAAAGAGGAAAGTTCCTCGAAGCGGTAACGCCTATCTTGGAAATTAAGATGCTCCTCGATTTTATCAAAGCACGCTAAAGGGTATTAACGCGAACTTAACAGTAAATCGATGCGTTTTCCAACAATGATGAATGTATCTCCTGCAATTACTGCGGGAGCAATTCCGGTTTTTGCTAAGTATGTAAGTGTATTAAGTCGAAAGCGTTGTATCCTGAATGTATTAATTAAACGAGCCCTACAAGGTGTTCTGTTGGTTCAAAAGGAGAAGTTGGTGCGGTAATAAAAGAGATTTACTGCTTTTGTATAGGGATTAATCCTTTCAGCAAAACTTTGCGTGTTTTGCCACGATTTTATGAATTAATTAAAAAAATATCCTTTGTAAACACTTATTTCAAGGATATGCTTTATCCTTAAGAAGTAAACAAAATCAGAACTTCTGCTTGGTGCAATTTAGGCCAAATCAACATTACTTAACGTAGAAAGCATGGTGAAGGATATCACTCGCCGTATCCATATCCTTTCAATCGAAGGACGTCTTCCATCTGACTTATTAAAGGAAAGGCACGCTCCGGTGTACTGTTACACCTGGAGTATAACGTCATCCTCGACGGATGCGGCTTGTAAATCAACCGGATCTAACTCTCCAGCGGAAACAGAAATTCGAGTATAATTCCAAAGTGTGTTTGCCTTTGACTTTTATAAAAAATATCGAGCTTAACAACTAGATAAGATTTGAGAAAAATATATCCGATTGACAGAAGAGTAAATTGATGAAATTGGTTAAATTGTCAACAAAAATAGAGGGAAAATTGATGAAACTGATAGAATTGTCAACAGAAATACAGAAAAATTGATGAAATTGGTTGAATTATGAACAGAGTCAGTGGTAAAATTGAAGAAACTGTTACAACTGTTAACAAGAATTTCGAGAATACTGATGAAACTGACAGAGTTGTCTATAGAAGTACAGGTCTACGAATTTACCATGGCACCTGGGGAAAATATTTTCTGCGCGAAGTAAGGGTCAGTGTGCGACAAGGATAGCATTCGGAATAGAGAGATGGCTATACAGGTAGTGAACGTAGTCGCATTTTACTCGACACTTTGCATTAAACGGACTCAGGGATAATTGGGATTTTCGAATGCAATTATAAAAATTATTTAATACCGTTATTTATTAGAGATTAAATTCAATTAGCTTACTTATATTGAATGCAAATCTCAATATGTTTTGAATGTATAGAAATTGTAATTCGGTGATGTTAAATTAGTTTACTAAGAATAATTATTGCGTTCGCATTCAAGCCCATCAATTTTAAACCGGATTAATTAAATATCAATCAAATATAATAATAAATCTTAATATTAATCTTATACGGGGAATAATTCATTATTGGATTTATAGGAAATTAACATAACAATGAAAATGGGTTTTTCAGAGCCACGAATCTAAAATTTTAGGAATTTCGCTCCCTTAATACGGCTCTGTACTTAGATGTTTAAGCGTAAGACTGTCTGAACAGACTGAGTGCGGAGCGTAATTTAGGGACGAATCTACGGCGCATCTAGGGGGTGGAGCATCTCAGGTGCCATGGTAAATTCGTAGACCTGTAAAAGGATAATTAATGAAACTAATATAATTGTTAAAACTAACAAAATTGATGAAACCTTGTATCTTCCACGAACAAATTACACATCAAACGATATAGTTGTATGGGTTGTGTAGTGTATAACTGATGGGTTAAATCAGAATTTGATGTTCGTGGAGGATCGAACTTCAAATTCAAAGCTGGCTCTACTCTCTCTAAATAGACAATGGTATTTACAAATTGCTAATGAGATATGGTATTGCCGTTTGTGTTGCAACTGTTATATGTATATCCTCAAACATAATTACATATGCTGCATAGCCGGGAATCGATCGATATAGGCATCTGTTGAATGCATTCCGGTTGGATATTAATGCCCGAACAGAAAGGCGAGAATTCGATTGGTGATTTTAAAATGGAAAAGCGAATGGCTCGTTTGTAATCCGATCCCAGAATAAAGTTATACCTACTTTTAATTGCGTTTGTCGCCTCCGGCGCGGGTCATCTAATTCTGCCAACGAAAAAGGTCTGTCCTAAAAAAACTCCGGGGAAAAAGTCTTAAAGGAAGGGGATTTTCCCTGCGTTTTACGTAGAATTTGTCATGCATCTAATATTTATAGGGAGTTTGAGTTTAATTAGTCAACTTTTAATTTTCAGGATGACTGTAGAGCTGAGCAACGGAACTCATGGAGCCGTTTTAAAAATCAATCCTGTTGAGGGAGATGACGAGGCCACTTATAAATGCGAAATCACCTACCTGGAAGTCATAGAGAACTGCGACGTGGTGCAAATAGTCAAGCTGAAGACATTGAGTGAGTACATAATTATCATTATCAATTTGATAGAGGGCGAAATTATATTATAAATATTGGATAATTTAATTACGCCATTAAATATAAAATTACAATCAATCCAAACGCGAATGGAAAACGTCGGGGATTTTCCCCGATACAATTTGCAATTAAGCGGTAAGAAATTCGCGAAAGCTCATTAAAGTTTAACATTCTAGAATCGGTCATCAATATTCCCTTCCGACCTTTCTCATAAAGTCGTCGATTTGACCTCGATTAAAAAACCAAATTAAAAATTGAAGTGAATCTGCAGTTGACGGGGAAGTGAAACGCGAATGTAAAAGAATATCGATTCGATAAATAGAATATAGCCGTCCTGCCTTCGACAGAACAATTAAATAAGGTTTTTTTTTTAATTTTATTAACGACGGGATGACAGTTTTCCATCTATTCTCGGAACTATACTCGACAATTGTGTTAGTAAATTTGAAGTGTAAAGTTAATTTTTACATATCAAGTTGTCAAACCTTCTATTTTTTGTCATAAATACATTTTATCCAATTTATTTTATCCACTAAACTATTTTCCACCTACCTATACATTCTATTATAAAGGCTTTAAATTTTCTGTTTTCTCAATTAGAGCTATTTTACGACTAATTTGAACACCGATGTAGCGTATGAAAATTTAAATGCAAAAACGCTGTGTATCGGAAAATTATACTCTATAGCAGGATCCGTTTATGAAAAAACTATGTAATCGTGAATACCGTTGAACCGAAACCGGTCAGCGCAGCGACAGCAGGAGATGGAAAAAAAAACTTCGTTTTCAGGCATGTAAAATTAATATGCATATTGCACTTTTCAGTTCAGTTATGAGGGCAATTTTTAATTCCGACGGTATCATTTTCAACGACCTCTTGACCGCGATGGGCGTTTATATTCTGAATGAAACAGACTTTTTTTATATCTATAGTGTTTATCCACTCGAAATGTAACATAAAAATTTTAATATGTGTGCTGTAATAGGCCGGGTGAAAACTGTTAAATATTAATTTAACTGAAGCTAAAAAATTAGTTAGTAAATATTCATTAACCTTGACTCCCGGTTGCATGTACGAATATCAATTGAGTAGCTTTGTTGCATATTCCGGGCCTTGTAAAGGCATTTCCCTTTCCACCCGAGCGCGACGTCCACAAGGGATATTTATTCTATTCGCTTATGCAAAACGGTTTCCCCAAGAAATGTATCTAATGGCGCGCACTAAGCATCTGCATCTGGAGTTGAACCGTCCGGGCCTCCCGCTGACACACTAAATGCTTTAAGGGCGCGCTTTAAAGGGCACAGGAACTTTCCAGATGTTGCTTGGAGGATATCCCTAATGATTCATGCACTCTGGTTAGTTTCCGATTTACGGTCGAAGGGGATTATTCTTATAAATCCCCTATTTTCCGCGCTCTTTCGACAATATCTAATGCATTTTCATCGTAAATAACTATTTACGTGGGCCGAATGTTATCCAAATTAATCCGTTGGAAATTTAATCTACCCCTTTATAATCCTATATATCGAACAATCAAATCTTAATGGAGTCTAATCGACCCATTGTAGTATTAAATTTCCTTTGTTCATCGCACTATTTTCGATATGTTACGTACACAATTGCTCTAATTGCTTTTGTCTGTTAGATTCACCCAATGTGTAAATCTGCGTGCAGTTAACGCAAAACCCTCCGATGATTTACTGGAAGTTGTTTATTCTGTTCCATGGCTGTTTTCCAAGACGAACAAACGCCCCGATTGCGAATTACAGAATTATAATCCAATAAGTACATCTACCATTAACAGTGATACTGAAAGTACACAAACAGCATAATTTATTTTTACGTTGAAAATCGAAGAGTAAATCGAAACTTTTGCAATCGACGCAGGGCATTCGAGTAATCACGTACACGTTACGCTAAAATGCCAACCATCGCTTTCTCGTACGTAGTACAAAGGAGTATTAAAGGGGCATTAATGCAAGCGAAATGAACTTGATGGCTTCATTTCTCTGTTGTGTAAACTCTAAAGACCGCGCTCCGTCCGACAATTTCAATTATGCGCCCTACAGGGGGGTCGATGGATCTTCTTTTTAATTGTCGGAATATAGATTATGAGCCTTTGGTGTTTTGGTTGGATTGATTTTACAGTTGGTTGTAAATTACGTTGTAAAAAATGATTGACAACAAGAATGGCGTTTTTACTTTATTGGAAACTCTTTTTGAAATAAAATATTTATTAATTTTCCGATTGATTACCAATTTCAAACAAATAAAACGCTCGACTATAACGACATTTTTTCCCTTCTATTTCTCATTAAATTTTAATCCCTTCGGGTCGGCTGCGTTGATTAAATTCCATATTTTATATTTCGTTAACACTCCGCTAACCAGACGCCACGGCAAGGAGCCGGAAAAGTGAAATTCCTAGTAAACCCGAAACTTTACGAACTTAACGGCTACGCTAGGAGAGGAAAAAAAATCCGTGACACGGGCCGGGAGTTCCTCTCGGGGAAAAGGTGCAGTCGAGCGGTCGGCGCGGAATTTCGCCGACGACGCGCCATAATTAAAGTTCCGGCGAGCGTTAGGTGGCGTCTTTGTCGCCTAGCGATCAACCGGAAGGGAGCCTTATCGACGAAAAATGCCTCTGGAATTTTTCACTGAAGCTAAAATTAATTACTGGAGTTAATTCGAACTAAAACCAGCCGGTAATCACGACAAAAGAGATTGATGTGGATAAAAAAACGCTCCGAATAACGTAATTAGTTACTAATATAATTGACGGAGCGGGGAAATTAGCGGAAAAGCGTATCTCTCGATTTATTTATTCAATTTGCGACGAGCTTGATGGCGTAGGCGATCTCTTAAGTTGAAGAAATTCGTTCCTAAACGAAATCTCCTTCGCCTCAATCTAAACACGAATTTTAACAATTTCACTGGGAAAGGTACGGGGCTAATTAGCGCTTCTCGTCTTACAAAGAGACGTTTTTTTTGAATCCTAAACGTCACCAAAACAGCAAAAAAAACCCACTCTCCGTTTCAATTATTTACAATATTACTCATAAAAAATAAGAACTTAAAGAGAAATTTTTCAAAGTTAGGTACAGTGCATCAGGAGTAGCTGGAGACATAATTATTTCAAGGTCGCGCAGGTGACGTCTCTATTTATTCTCGCCGCATTGTAGGTGGTTAGCAAACAAATTATGCAAATTCGTTGATAGTGATCGGTAACCCGAGGATATCGTTTCGCAGCGGTAACGTTACAATTACAATAGGGTTTCGTTCAAATATTCAACGATTGGAATATTTGCTGACTGTTTGCGGTTTAATTATGGCGAACAATCGAACTCTAATTTTAAGTTTGCCGATTACTGAAATATTCATCGGTTAATCATCGATGTATAAACATAATTCGGTCGACATTACGTCCTATTTCGAAATTATTCGGTGGAAAAATGCTAGCGAAATAAAAAAAAGGACGAATGTTGTTTGCCGAAACTCGAAAATGCAATCAAACTGTTTGAGTTATTTTTGAATTATTAAACACTTGTCACCAGTTTGAATGAACTGTACAATAAAATACGACCAACGACAGGAGAAAAATAAATTTACGCTCGGGTTAAAGGCCGCACCGAAAACGGTTTTGTGATTTATCGCCGGGCGATTGTTGATTTAATGCATGTTACATGCCATTAATTATTAATTGGCTTTTGTAGCGAACTTCTTTCGAATTCGCTCGTTTGTGGATTTCGAATTTTAGGTACTCGCATCAACATTTATCAATACTTTATTATCCCAGCCATTATTTTCACGTATTTGCATCAAAAAGTTTATGCACAAATTTTATTACTATCGACTTCTACCGTGAAGCTTTTTTTTTCCTGTGGATTTTTTTATTCAAACTGAAGTATAAGACACAGCCGATTTAAATAAAATCTAAATTTCAAAAAAAAACCGCTGCGTAAAATAATTCGGCCGTTTCCCGGAATATTCCGCGTGCGAGCGCGTTGCGGAGAAAACCGCCCGAAAAGCGAAACGGGAAACGCGAAAATCTGATTTAGTTGATAGAGTTTGCCGCCGAACAACGTTTTCCGACTTCGGTGTGCACTTAACCCGACACGATTCGTTCTACCGGTATAAATGGATTCCGGAAAACAACATATGCATTGCATTAGGCCCTCATCCGATTCGAGCAAATGGAAAGAATAGCAGTTTGTAATGAACTCCTTCCTCCTGTCGCCGTCGCAGGAAAATTCATTCCTTCGTAACGAAAGTTAATTCCTGTAGATTTTTCTTCTGCTGCTTTAACACCAGCAGGTGAAGTGCTAAGCTAAAGTTGCTGGTCAAATCTCGAATTTATATTCTACATGCATCGTAACAGGAATTTCTATTATTAGGCGTATATTCTTGTTTTCGAACAATCTGTGACATTGTTCGCTTTCGAGTTTATGATGAATATTGTTCTGCGACTCGCTGGTGTTCTCGAAATTTAATCTCGATCGATTCGAGAATAATTCTTCGAAATACCATCTAATTTCGAGTTAATTTGCTTATCATTAATCCGCGGAGAGTGAGAGAGTAGAGGTTTTCGATTTCCTCGGGGTATTTTCCCGGTTCGTCGAATTAACTATTCAAAATATACGTATCTCATCCAAGAACCGAGACAAAATTTTATTTCACCCGAGGAAGGAGTTACATAGTAGCGTTTCTTCTAATAATTTATTTAAGTGATCGCGGAGTCTTGTCAGCGGGGGCTAAATATCGCCGGGTTTTCCCGCTTACATCGCAAAGCTACCGGGTAACTTTTCTTCTAATGGAATAATTTATTCAATAGAGCGAATCATTTACCGCAACATTCGCTAATTTCTTTGCGAATTTCATTAGCCGATTTTGCCGTCCCGAGGGACGATCCTTTCGATCCTGCCTTAACCTACATTACCCTGTCCTGATGAAATTTTTTGTTAGAGTGTATGTTAGGTACATACACAAAAATTTAAAGAAAAAACAACTCATTTTACTTCAATTTAATATTGGCTTACTTCGGGTAATTTCCTTGTCAAACTTTTTAAATGAAATTTTCGCGGAAATTTTCGTAATTACGGTCCTCGGTTCTCCCACTTCCTGCTTCTTCTTCGCGCAACTTTCCATATCGGCGCATAATAGGAAAACGAGCGGAATAGCTCAAAACAAAATCTCGACGGGTTTATTTGCCCCCGAACTCGCGAAACTTCGTTTTCTAAAGAGGAGTTTCGCCCGTCAACTCGCTATTCTACGGTTTAGCTCATTGTCGATTCATTATATCTGTTTTAGGTAGATTTTATTCAATATTATACGAAGTAAATTCGAAATACGTTTATTCTACGAACAGCCGTAGAAATTCACGACCCTGAATGAAAATTCAAACATAACTTTTATTACTTATATTTTCACCAAATGCTATAAGAAATGTAGCTTACAAATACTACATAAACATTGTACTAATGACCTTCTTTTGATTCTATTAAATCTTCAAGGGAATTAAAATATTCTATTGTCCTAGCTTTCAAATCTATTGTAGCAGCTTTGTCGCATACCAGTACAGTTTTGGGATGTTTCTGGAAAGCTGACAAGACCACCATGTGATTGATGCCTTCCTCCATAGCCTTGTAAATCGCCATGGACCTATCGAAACCCGTGGCACATATTATCACAATTTGCGCGTCCATGATGGTCTTAATCCCCGCGCTGATGGCCGTCCTGGGTACATTCTCCACGCCATCAAAGTACTTGGCTTTCTCATCGATTTTCCCTTGCGCCAGACTCTTCACCCTGGTCCTGGAACCCAAAGAAGAGGCGGGTTCGTTGTAGCTGAGCTGCCCGTCGGAGGTGGCCTCGCCGATGACCATGTTCAAGCCGCCGCTCTTGGTGATGTTCTCCTCGAAGTCGTGGCACTCGGTGATCAGGTCCTTGACGTTGCCGTTGGGTATGAACACGTTGGCCGGCTGGATGTCCACGTGGCGGAAGAGGTGTCGCCACATGAGGTAGTGGTTGCTCCTCGGGTGGTTCTCCGGCAGGTTGACGTACTCTTCGAGCACGAACAGCTTGATGTAGCGGAAGGAGATGGAGTCCCTGAAGAAGGCGTCCACCAGCGAGTGGAGAACGTTAATGGTGCTCTCGCCCAAGCAGAATCCGATTATGTAGTACTTGTTTTGGTTCGGTTTGAACTCGTTGATTTTCTTCACCATGTAGGACGAGATCCATTTGCACGCGTTTTCCTTCGTGTCTCTTATTATCAGCATCATTTTTTCACCGATTTTTTTTTGACTATTGTTATGGCAATAAACTGACATATGCTTTGTAGAGACTTTACTAAGTGGGCAATTCAGCTCATAAAAAAAATCACAAATACCTTTATCAAGCAATCTACTTTTTAATTACCGATTCGTAAATTCTTCCTCCGGTACTCGACTTTGCGTGTTGTTGTTTTGTCGCCCGGAAAATTCGAGACCGGTTATATACACCGAAGAGGGCGTGCTCGGTGAAAATTTCCTTCCCAGGTAAAATTTTAATTAAATTTTCTCAAGTGCAGGTGCGATCTGTGGACCTTTATCTGGGGCGATTTATCTACGTGAGCTTCCTCTCTGCCGGGAGTTTACGAGCTAGTAAAATGTCTGCGAAATAGAAATGCGTTATACGTGACGAGATAAAGTTATTTTTTATAGGGCGACTCGTTATCTGAGAGTACGCAACGCGTTTGCGAATTAACTGATCGATGTGAGAAAATATATTTTTGTTTTATTTTAAATAGGGTTGCACGAGAAATGTTCAAACTAGAGGGGAAAATAGAGGGGTCGCCATAATTGAATTGCAGGTTGGTTTATCGAATACATAATATCCTATATTTGTATCGTTGCTTTTAATATCAAAATTTTATTAGTCTTGATTAAAATGTCTGTGCAGGCTTACAAATGAATTTATAAATAAAATTAAAAACTGACTATTTAATTGAATTTTTTAGGCATCCGCGAACGGATTTATTTTGCTATTGAAATATTTTTCACTATGATTGGGTAATACACGATATTCATAAAATTCAATCCGGGTATGTTTCTATAATTAAAAGTACCTAAATTGATTAAAATCCAACTGAATATTACATAACTAAATTCATATCGCCAAATTTTCATTAAACAAATATTTATTTTGTAAACAGGACAATTTACATGTTGTATTTCAAAAAAATATGAATTACCATAATCCCCTTTGTAAATAGATCAAGCATAAATATTATCACGAATTTAAAATAATCATCTAAACGAGTTAAACACAACGCTTTATCTACGACTATTTATAATTGCAATTCACAAAATGTGAGATTATTAACTACATTACAAGCCATTTATGCTCTATAGCAAAACATGAAAAATACCGGTGATAAAATATTTCCCCGTGTATACTTAAAAAAGGCGATTTATTTAAATGGAACGAGAGATGTGGGCGATATTTTTCACAATACCCAGCAGTTTAAATGCCTCGCTGGGTTCACCGGAATCCGCTAAAACCAGAAAGCATCAACAGAGTAAATGGAAATGCAAATTTATTGGTGGAAACAAAAACAAAGAAAATAAAACAATCGATTAATTGATTTATTTTCATGTACATACGTACAGTGTCAAAAGATTCTTCACGAAAATATTTGTAGGTTTCAATGATTGGTAACAGAATTCCAGAGATTTTCTGAAATTTAATTAAGAAAGCTTCGTCTGTTTAATTTCAAGGCGCATCTACAGCTATCTGCAATCAATTGAATACGAAAGCTCCGTTCGTTATTGCAAAATCCGAAATATCCCACACCTAGTTTGAGTCAACTGATAGAAAACAGAAAAAAGCCCACACACAAGCTTTCGCATTACTCATTGTCCATGGAATCCGGTTATCCGGGGTCTCTAAATTAAATTCCGCGCGCTGAGACGCCCTCGAATTCGTCGCCAGACGACTTGCGCTTAGTTCAATGCGATTTTGTTCACGAAAAAAACTAGTCAGTAACTCAAATTTCCGCTTATCAATTAAAAATTTGCATTTTAATATGTCCGCGGAAAAATATTAACGAGCTGACTTGTACGTATACACACTTCAGTCCGGAATTACTTATACATTCATAATGGTATCAAAGTAACGAACTGAAGCGCTCCGTTTTTAAAAAGACCGTCGGCGTCGCAAAGTAAGAGGCCATTCGAGAGAATTCGGCTCCTTTCATCTCGAAAATTATCCTCCAGCGGAAGATTTCATATATGCACCCGTCGGTGATTTCGAATGGTAATACACCCACCCACTCTCATTCAATCCGGCCATTTTTTTCATTAACTTCGCGGAAAAAATAGCGTTCTAATCTGCACCTATTCGACCAGTTCGTGTTCTAATCGAGAAAGGGCGAGAAAAAAGAAATCAACGTGTAGATCAAGTGGATTTTCGGTGTATCAAAGCGTCGATGCGGTCTCGGTATATACCCATATATTTATCCCGTTTTATCCCGGACGCGTGCACTCTCTCCTGGTTCCGCTAAACCGGAACCAGCGACCGGAACGCATCAATACTCCCGTTTGATGTATTTACTGCCGATAACTCTCCTGCTACTGTGCCACATACGTGTGTGTATTTGTGTGTATGTGTCTCTGTGGGTGTTCATACACATCCGACACGACGAGATGTCTCCTGCAGATGTTCCGCAAATTGGCGACAAATAGATATTTCTTCTTTTTTATATAATAATTCGCTATATTGACTTTAACGTTAGGTCGTACAGATTTATTAATTTCACCCTCGAAATTAACAACCTCTTTTTATAGGATCACAAGCTCGCACAGCTAGTTAGCCCTTGATCAAATCACCTCTAATACCAGTATAAAATTTAACATTTTAATACATTTCTGCACTATGCAAGAACGCGATGCAGCACATACCGATGCACCACATCATATTAATCATTTATTTAACTTTAAACTTGAGTTTCGTCATTTTAATTACAAAATAATATATCGGCTCTATTATTAGGTTACTAACCATAACGTGGATAAAGCAATAGAGACACGATCTCAAAATTGAAGCACGAATCGACCGGTTTGTTTTGCTAATGCAGTAATATCGGGTAACATGTAAAATACAAACAAGCCCGATTGTATTTTCACGAAGATTAGCTAAAAACGAATCCCGGAAGATTAATATTTGATCCTGTTTGTTGAATGTAGTGTATTTTTTTGTAGGGTTGTTGTGAATTTTGTTAACGACGCAGGCAATGGTTATTTTTATAGAGATTTATGCGAAATAGGTCATAACTACAATATCTATAGAGTGTCCCGATAGTACGGTAAATCTCTATACTGAATTTACAAATGATGAACAGGATTAGGCACGTAATATTCTTATTATAGACTGCTTTAGTTTCATTTCAATTTTGTGTCGTTAAGTTTTACCGCATTTTGGTTCGCCTTTACAAGGCATTCGTTAGTAATTCATGAGGTATTAAAAGTTCCTGTTGAGTTGTTGGTTCATTTTTAGAGTAGAGCCTTCAGTATAGCCTTCACATAAAGAGCAGCTGCAATAAATGTTCTTATAGGAAATGTATTTCAATTCATTGTGCTCGCCGATTAAATACGAGCATTTAGTTAATACGGACTACATGAAAAAGGTGATTTAATAAAAATATTTCAAAAGAGATCGCATTGATTGCATTTAGAAAAAAAATAAATCTATTACATCACCAGTAATGAATTGATTTATTTTTCTCCGTCTGTAAAGATATTTGTAGACCTATTTGTATTTACCTAAGAAAATGTATTCGGGAAAACCACTCTATTTGCTCCAAATGGAAAGGACATTTTTTCCCTGCTCGAACCGGTATTTATCGATCTAATTTATATAAAGTAAAAGGTAATATTTCAGCGTTCAATGAAAAATAGCTACTACAATACATCGAGTTTAATCCCCATTCATCCAATACCCAGTATTTTTTTTACTCGTCTTTTTTTTATCCACAAGCTTATCAGTTCAATCCTTTTCTCTTGAAATAACTTGTTATTTCTACATGCCTGATGAACTTTATTACACGTCCCGCGAGTAGAATTCCCGAATCCTGCGACTCCATATCTTAAAATGCGCAACCCTAATGGTCTCTTCTCGTTCTCACGTGTGACGTCGGCGTTGATTAATCGACGCCCGAGACGCCGACGGTTGGACGTCGGGCGTCGTCACCGCGCGACCTTCCTTCATTTGTCATCATCTTATCGAATGATTAGCGAAAATGAACGGGGACGGAGACGGCGGTTTCGGCATCGGCGCCGCGACGCCACCGTCGCGCGGATATGGCGGTTATCGCGCCCGCCTAAACGTGAGGATATTTTAAAGAGGATTAGATTCGACCCAATTTAATTTAGCTAATTTATTTTTACCGGATAATGCACTATACAGCCCTAGAGAGTTATAATAATATATCATTTATCATCGGAATCCCACACTAATCAATTACGGTCCTGACACTCGAGGAAAGTTTTCCAAGTTGGAATTACCTCTAAGAGAACAGATAAAAAGAAATGCCGTTAAAGTGAAACATCATTTCGCCCGCGTGCGGTTTTATGTAGCGAGAATTTGTATCGGCTCGGGGTTCCGCTAAGCGGTAAGAAATCAAACCGAGTGTCAGGATTGTCAGATATTCCACTCCTGAGAGAAACATTTTCTCGCCCTTCCTCCAACAACGTAGGTGTTTCGCCTTAGCGGCCATTCCGAATTTATCGCTGTAGGCGGGCAGGATAAAAATTACAGTAAGTTTGTATCGCCTATTTATGAGTAGAATAAAGTACACCTATAAAACTGCCTCTCATATACAATACTCTATTTTACTTGTCGTGTACAATGCAGCAATCAATTCAATCGGCACGAAACTATAGCGCGTTTAATGTAAATTTTATAATTACACTCGTCTTTGGAAAGCTCGCGACGGGGGGAGAGAGTTTAAGTCGCAGGAAAATCGGAAACTCTCGAGTGTACCCTGATCCTTTCTCTCTCCACATTCGGTTGGCACTATAACGATGATAATAATCATTCCAGTTTGTTGAGTTTATTGTTAACACGCGGACGCGAGGGGAATGAAATCCTACCGAGAGGAGAGTTTCCACCGGCAATATTAATATTACTTTAGCTGTTTCGGTTTGCGGTTTAAAACGAAAACGGGATTAGACGGTAATTAAGAATTTAAAACTGGTAAGGTAAATGTTCGGGATGTTCGTTTGTATTTCGAATCCGTGCAGGAGGTATTAAAATTAATTAACGGATTTTTCCGGCGACGATTAGCATTTTCCCGCAACCCTTGCAGGAACGTCAAGCTAAATGAGTCGTTCTATACTTCTGTAAATTTTTCTTTAATATGATCGTTCTCTATTTAATTCTGCTGTAGGTAATATGACTCGAGTATTAGGTTGACAACAAGAAAAAGCTTTCCAAGCTTTAATTTTGCAATTGCATAAAATTGAATATGTCGCAATACTTATGATTCGCATACTTACATCCAAGCTATTCAGTAATTAACCGGTATATGCAAAATTCATTTCGTACCGATGTGGAAATTCATAATAACCACTCGACCTGCGGAAAAACTCAAATGGCATACAAAATGAAGCAATGAAACGACAATTTCGAAAGCCTCCGGGCTCAAGTACCTTCCTAGCATTCGGTCTTTATAAAAAACGAGCCCGAAGGAAATTTCTGTTTCCAGTTACAGGCGAGCGGCTAAAGGAAGACCTCTACCGGTGGAATTCGCCGGCTCTTAAAGATCAACATGGAATGAAACGCGGCTTTGATGCATTTCAAAGTGTTTTGTTGACGTAATAAAAGTTCGAAAATTAAAGGTTTGTTTTACGAGAGATCCTGAGAGAGCTCCACTCGCAATGCGATACTTTGTATGTGGAAAAACCGCCTTTTGCGTCTAAAAGGTTGTGTATAAAAGAAATTGAAAGAGCACGCAAAGATTGCTCGGTAAAAGTTAACTCGATATTCCTCCTCGGTTACTCTATAAAGTTGCATTTTTAAAGATTCGCTTGAAATCCGTACAAAAAAACATCCGGCGAGTACCAGCTTGGTTTTCGATAAGGGAATTCTTTTGCAAAGTTGTAAGAAAATAACGTTCCATATACCAACAAATTTCGTTAATTAATCGAGTATTAAACTTCTTTAGGAGCTTATTTTTACGTTTCTAATGTGTGATTTTTACGCAGGATTTCCTCTCTATTTCGTTCCCAATATTCAAAAATAGAATATCTAAAAAAATACCTTCCAATTATTACGCTAACCCTTTTGCAGGAATTTTATTATCCCGTTTCCTTACATCCGGCGCTTTTGTTGTAATTGCGAATTGGCCCCGGAGCGAGTGAGAGTAGAGAGCAGACCTTTCCTGCTGATTTTCCGTAACTTCACGCCATATTAACCTTACCTCTTCTCTTTGCTTGACTTATTTTTCACTCATTTCGAACGGAGGCGGCGTGTTTTATTGTACCTTGTTAGCGGCAAACGAAAATTAGGTGGCGGGCGGGGTATTTTCTGATAATTTAATATTGTCCTTTTTTTTCGGCGATAAGGAGCGTCTCGCATCAGAGGAGTCGGCTTTGCTATTTCTGCTACTTTTGCCTCTTATTCGTTTTGCGTGGGATGCTGCGACGTTTTATTATTTTTTTACGTCCCTATTTTGGGGAATTTTACGGACAAAGTAGTAAAAATGGGGCGTAATAAGATGATATATTACCTACAGCTGTGTTTTCTTAATCTCATTATGAAATTGGGCCGTTAATTTTGGGCTTTTTTTAAATGTTATTTATTTAAATGTAAGAACACTAAAAGCTGTTTTATTAAATTTTTAGAACTGTTTTGCGCGATTGTTTATGAATTTTACAGGATTTGTAAGGCCCTTCGCGTTTAGTTTTCTTATTGACCACTTTCCATACGCTTTAACCCGGAAAGTTTGTCCTCTGCGGTTCGAATATTAATTAAATCAATGGAGGTAATTACGTCGCCTTCGCAAACTGTGATTTAATTAGATTTTGCGTTTCATTCGAAGCTTATAAACTGCTAAACCCCACCCGGTATACGCTGCATAGTTTCAAATTTATTAAACCGCCGTACAAGACCCTTTATAACTTCACCTCTTACATATTGTGTATAAATTGAATCGTACAAATAATATTTTATTACTATGGACATTATAGTATTTGCTATATTCCTGCTAGTTAGAAAGTAAATAGAGATTATATCGGTTAAAACTCCACTGATAATTGAATTAAATTGAATAAAATCGACGATTTCCTTCTTACGAGATCAGATTTTTCCTTTACTGCCGAAATAACAGTGTCAATATTTTCGCAACCGAGCAAACAGCAGTAACGTAATTACTGCCGAACCATCAAACTCGACGGAAACAATTCGGTAAAAAATTACATTGTCGCCACTTTTCTTTTCTTCCCTTTTATATTGATAAGACGAATGTCGGCTTTTACGGGCATAAAAATGACAAAGCGACCCCGATATAACCCGGATAGAGCGGCGAAACTTGGCACACAACGTGTATATATGCCCCGAAGGTTTTTCGCTTTTCCTGCTCCACTCTAACTGTACATACAACGTTTTCAGTTAATGTTTTCCAGTCGCTTGTCATGTCAAGGAAGAGCAAACAGACAACGAGTTGCACTCCGGGATGTGTATTGGCAATTTTCCAAACTAATCAGTTCGTGCGACCCGCTTTCCTGTCTCTTCTCAAACAGTACGAACCCGATAAAAATATCGGAAAAAAGCCGGATCGCTTAACTTCGTTTATTATCTGCTCGTGAACATTAGAGAAATCGAGCTCGCGCAACCAGCTAGGAAACGTTTCAATGGAATTGATTATAAATTGGTATTAATTTCGTTTCAGAAATTCCAGAAAACGTGAAGATTTTTAAAAGCATTGATCAGACGCCATTGCCCAATTCTACCCTCATCGGTCCAATGGAAGAAGACGATGAAATGGATTTGATTTGCGAAGCTACCGGTGGAAAACCCACCCCTAAAGTCCGATGGTTCAACGGTACCACCGAAATAACAAGAGGTAAGTACTAATCGTTTTACATTACTTTTTTCCTCGAACTTTCCTACATTTCCTTCTCTAATAGAACGGTTTATTTTGGTGGAATAAAATCGGAAATTCGAAATTAACATTGGTATGAATAACGAGAAGCAATCGAATGCAACTGGGAATCCGAACGTTTATGTAATATTTCGCGTCAAAAACGAGGAATAACGTCCCGAGACGACGTTATATATCCGACATTTTAGCGGTATTAATGTCTGCATTAACGTTCTGCGTTTGATAATTTGAAAATTTCCATCTGATGGATTATTTTGCGAATTATTTTCTTTTCTTTCCGTTTTTACCACGATGTTATTAATGATATATCTCCTTAATTAGTTGCTTGAAATATTGTTATAATGAAGAAATGCTTAGGATGAAATACAAAATTACAGATACATTCAGGAAGATACATTGGCAAAAATAATTTTCAAATTGATATGAAGTTAGTTTAACTTTTGACACTTTTCAATAACAACAATTTTAAACCGCTAGATATTCTATTTTTTGATAAACTAATTTAACTTACACTAACTAATTTTTCTCTGTTTTGTGAAATTTGCGTGGGTATTCGTTTCATTAAAACCTCTACTACACAGACGAATATCGTAATCCAATTAGAAAATTTCGCCAAAGGCGCATTAAAGTAGGCTAGCGAGATCATTTTTCAAAACGTGTCTCTGCCAGGGCTACACCGTTGCCCCGTCGAAAATCCCTTAATTAAGCTCGAACTCCCCGAGAGTTCGGACACTAACTTCTTTCTTTTTTTTTTTCAACTTTTTTTTTCCGTGCGCGAGTCCTTTATTAATTTTCTAATTAGTTTCGGCGAGTTGTGCTTTTCTGAAAGCTCCGGCGAGAGGGAAGTTTTTTTAAAAAGTAAAATAAATTGAGCGGGAATAACCCGATTAGAGCGAAAATGCTTTTAAATACTGTTGAAATGTTGATTATTGACGTAATGGAAGGAGAAATTTTATTTAAAATTCATAATTTGATATCTTCCTTTTTTATGTAGGAACTAGCAATTAATCTCTAATTAGATAGTGAAGTTTTTTAAAAGCTTTGTAAGTTTTTTATTAATTTTATAAGCTTTTTCATTAAGTCAAGATGGCGATTTTATAAGGTTGCTATTGTAATTGGAGCTTCTCCAGTGATTTTAATTCTTTCTAAAGCTCTTTACTCTAACAAAATTTGTATAATTTATCAAATATTTCTCAACGCCAAACACAAATACTCTCTAATCCAACAAAACAGCTTTTCTCTTTACAATAACATAATTTCTGCAGTTTATAAAACGACTTATTTACCGGGCGAAGCTCCAAGACGACTCGGGTAAAATATATAAATTTCGCATTCCCTCCCCGGAGACGAAGCGACGATACCAATCGTCATCTCGAACTTAATCCGGTAAATTTGAATTTTCGCATCGAATAAGTCGTAAAAGGTTATTACTCATTTTCTGAATCTCTGCGTTTTCGCGACGGGACCGTTCCATAACGAAAACGGCTAGATATAAAACCGTAGGGGCGCAGACGCGGCGGATTTAAAACGATCCGGTTTTAATGCCGGAATTTTATCATCGATGGTAAATGCTTGAATACATATCGGTTTTTTTCAATTAAGAAAGTATACGAAATGTTCTACTTATACTAATAGATAGTAGAGTAGAATAGTAGAGATTTGTTAGAAAATATGTAGTTTAGGTACTAATTGAATGGATAAGGATCCTCTGTGGATTTTATTGTGATTGATTTTCCGAAAACTCGAGCGATATATCATCTCATCGCCCTAAACAGAGCTATAAGTGGCTGTTATCCCATTCGGCATTAATAATAGAAAAGATAGTTTTCGTTTTATCATTGAAAATGGGAAAGGCCATTTCCATTTATTCACAATAAAAGCCCCCGCATCGTTGGTTTGTCGAGTAGAGAGATAACTTCTCTTCTGTTTATATGTTCCTTCGATTTTTGCCGCCTATCGCCTTTATTTATTCCCTTCGGCATGGAACGCCTTTTTCATCCTTTTTCGGAATATTTATGTGTACACTATCAACGATCATTAAGAACTTTGATGTGTGTAGTATGTATATTCTATTCTTCCCTACTGATTGTATTCACCGATCGTTTTATTCAGTCCCTTTTCCATTTCATACGAGTACAGTTTTAGAGGAATAGTCGTGGATGCGGGAGTTTAATTTATCAAAAATAAAATGTAACAACTTCTATTAATTAACAAATAACCTATTTGATACAAATATAATTAATAATCAAATTGATACTACTTAAATCATACTTAAAGCTGGTCTTTCAAGTACCTTGAACTGCCTCAGGACTTCTTAGAATAATTGTTTAAAATGCCTTAAGTATATTCATAAATCTATCTTACTTATCTAACAAGACCTTATACAAAAAATAACCATGATAAGTTACTCACTTACATTAACTTATTTTTCTGGTGTTTCACATATCGGACAGCAGCTGCAATAAGGCAAAGCATCAAATTCATTACTTCCGCATGTAACGTTGCATTTTACAGTTTTGCATTCTGCAATAGTTGGACATTTTTCGGTTGCAGTTTCAGGTTTTGCTCTTGTTGATTGAAGCATTGTCGTTATTATTAACAAAAATAAAATATGTATTGCGAACAATTTCATGGTGTTTTGTTTCACGACGAATTGCGAGTATAATTAAACTTTTATAACAAAATTTTAACATTTTGTATACGTTTTTTGTTGATAAATTATTATCCTGTCATAATAAATTTTTTAAAATGCATGTAGATAAGTTCTTTGATAATAAGTACATTTTTGAAAATCATTATTCATCTGCAATCTGCAGCATGTAATAAATATTAAATTTGAAAATCATACATTATACATTATCATTTCATGGAACTTATTACATGTTTATTAATTTTCGGAATCCTTGGAAATTCTTTTATACTAAATATTTTTAAATTTAAAATTCCTATCCACATTACTTTACATAGATACTGGAAATTATCCGGTCTTGTCTTCTCGCTGTCACTCTCCTATCTCATTTACCTACCATCTTGAATGGTTAATATTCAAACGGCCCTTTTTCCCCTAAATGCATATTTTATCTTATATTAAACCGAAGGAGCATTATTACAATTCCGTTCCCGGGACTTTATACAGGTTCGAATACACAATTCCCATTTTTTTTTCGCAATATTTTGTAAAGAAAATGAAGACGATTTTTCTTGCATCATTCATGGACCATGAATTATTAATGTGTAAGTTTATTAAAATTCCATAAAAAAAATTCGACGCGTTAAAAAGTAACAGATGTTTGAAAAATGTAATAAGGTTGGTGTTATTCTGAATCTCGATGTCTAAAAAAAGTTTCTAAAAACTTTAAAAATGAACTTGTAAAAGTCTCGAAAAAAGTTTATTAATAAAACGAAACAGTATATTTGTGTAGTGTGTAATGCATTTTTTTATATCAAATTTCTCTCGATGTAATAAGAAGATGAAAATAACAGACCAAAGGAAACTCATTCAAATCCCGCTGGCAGGAAAATCGCCCATTTTTCCTTATACATATAGTTCATTCGACAGCATTTTGATTCGCCATAAATTGAGTAATAAATCCTCCAGTGGAAATTTATGGAGAAACGCCGAATGGAAAAACTCCAGCGCTACGCACGTATAATATATCCTAAGATTGTCGTCGGCGATAACGAATGTAACGCGATGTTTCCCGATGTTGCAAATTTGCCGGGAAAATTTACGACGTCATCGTGCGTAATCAAGCCTACGATAAACCGGGAGCCGGGGGGCCTTCAAGGGGGTAGGTTGAGTTAAGATAATTGGCGCCGGCCTCGTAATTTTCTTTTAAACGTTTAATACTCCGGGGATAATTAAAGCTTTCGCACGTTGCCAGTATTTCATGCACCGCGAAATTTATTTTGACGATGGAAATTTCAACAGATAAATTTTCTTAAATGTTGTTTCTTTTGCGCAAAGCGGCAACACCGCATTATTTTGTGAATTGTAGGTGACTATATAATTCTAGAAGGTGTGTAATAATTTGAGAAAAAATCTTACAAATTACACTGTAGATTTTTATGCGCTAGTTTTCGAAATGTTTTTTAGATTACCTTACTTTTGTTTCTTCGGTTTTTAGAGCGTCGAGTGCTCTTTTCCTTAATAATACGTCGAATTCAAGTAGGCGGAGACGGTTTTCTCCGGCTCCTTCGACTTTCTCGCATCCCAGTTTTTCCGGAAGATTTTTTTTTGTTTTGTTTAGTTCGGCTATCACATTCGGAGGAGAATCTCGTAATGAAATTTACCGGAAAAAAAGGTAAAGTCGATTTGTGCCGAAGATATCCGTTATATACAGGATGTTTCTGTGCTTAATACTTTTCTCATCCTGTATATTACTAACAGACAATTTTTGATGAAGTGTTTTTCACTCTATTTGTAGTAGAAATTAAGAATGCGTAGGATGATTTAGGTGAACTAATGAGAAAATATTATTAAAAGAAATGTTTTTTGAAAACACCTTGTAGACATCTCAATAAAAAAGGTTTTGTTCGCACTTTTTGGTTTGCAAATCGACCGGTCCCTGCATATATCAAAAATAATATTCAAATACTTATTCATCAAAATAAAAAAAATCCACATACAACAGAAATATTCCGATGTATTCGATTCACGTTCGTTCGAGAAAGTCCCTATTTTTTTCCATCCGCATTCGATTTAGCAATCTATTCTTTTTATCGTACAATTTGAGTGTCCAATATATTCCACGTTACGAATTTAGCGCACGTTCATCCCACACTTTCCTTCTCTTCTCCTTTATTCCGCGCTAAAAAAGGACGCAATCAGTAAATATCCGCTTAGGGTTAAACAGGAATTAGGTCCTTTTGTTGAAGGATCTTACGATAGTTTTCTATTAAACAAAATACAGCAATATACATAACGTAAAAATGTAGAAAAATGCAGTTTTTTAGAGACT